GGCCCCCGGCGGCCGCGAAAGGGTGCGGGAGACGCGGAGCCGGAGGAGGAGGCGCAGCCGCTGCCCGAGCCGCAGCCGCAGCCGCAGCCGGAGCCCGAGCCGCGGGGCGGGCGCGAAGATGCACACGACCCAGAAGGACACGACGTACACCAAAATCTTCGTCGGGGGGCTGCCCTACCACACCACCGACGCCAGCCTGCGCAAGTACTTCGAGGTCTTCGGCGAGATCGAGGAGGCGGTGGTCATCACCGACCGGCAGACGGGCAAGTCCCGGGGCTATGGATTTGTAAGTTGCGCGGACGCGGGGCGGGGGGCGACAAGAAGCCCGGCGGGGAAACCGTGGACCGCGGGGGCCGGGAGAGACGGAGTGGCGCTTGGCTCCGGGGGTCGGAGTTGGGAGCGAGGGGCTCGGCGTGACCGTGGGAGGAAGCCCGCGGGCGTGAGCGGCGCGGCCCCTTTGCTGCCGGCTGAACTGAAAGTTTGCGCGCGGCGGAGCTGGGGGAGGAAGGGCCGGCGTCTGCCTCGCTGGGCTCCGAGGGGACCAAGCGCGGTGCGATATCGGGGGACGGGCGGAGCAGGGGTGCAAGGAAAGAACTGTAACGACTGCTGGATTCGGGGGTGCGGAGGGATGGGGGGGCCCAGCACCACCGAATTGCACTCCCGGGTCGGAGGCTGGTCGTTAAGCGCTCTGTTGCTTTGTAAAAATGCGTGTGTCTTCTGGCGTCCGGCTGGGGCAGGGAGGGGACACCCCAGGAGGTTTAGGGCTCTTCCCCTTATGCCACCCCCCATTTTTAATTGCAAAGATGGGTTCTTTAAAAAATGATTCTATGGTTCTTTGCGAACTAAGAGAACATATTAAGCTTCCTGGAGATGTAAGCGTGCAAATTCAGCTGCCTAAGAGCAAAGAGGTCTAGAGTTGGACAATAGCTATTGTCGTTGGGAAGTGTTTGCGGGTTGTTGGGAGCACCGGGCGGATGTGAGGCTGAAGCTGGACTTGCTTTAAAGCAAACAGTGCCTCTCTGGCCGGTTAGGGACCTGGGGAGCAGTCCGAGGAGGAAGGATCTAGAGGAGTTCTAAGACGAAATTCAGGCTTCCAGATCTTTACTAGGCCCTACTACCACTCTTTAGCCTTTGGGGGGGAGATGTGTGCGTGGGAGGGGGTTCTTTCTTTCTTCCTTCCTGTTTTCTTGTTTTTTTGCTTTTTTGGACGGGGGATCAAGGAGTAAGTTCCAGCAGAAAAAAAAGAAAAGAAAAAGTTTAAGAACCCCCTCAGTTTTATCATGATTGACTTCTCCGATGTGATTTTTGGTTTCCTTCAGGGGTTGATTTAGAGTTTTGTATGTATGTCCTGTATGTGTATGTTGCTAAGGTCACCATGGCTGACCGGGCTGCTGCGGAAAGGGCCTGCAAGGATCCCAACCCCATCATTGATGGCAGGAAGGCCAACGTGAATCTGGCATACTTGGGAGCAAAACCAAGGATCATGCAACCAGGTGAGAATTGTCCCTCCGAACCGCCCCCCCAGAGACCCCCCCCCACTTCCCAGAGCCCTAGGCCCCTGAGGTCGCGCATGCGCCCTTGGCCTGTGCGGTGGGTGGGGGGTTGAACCCCCCACTTCCCAGTAGAATGAATCCCTGATTCGGAAAACATAGATTCCCTGAGAATCTGTAGATATGTGTAGTAAAGTTGAATCATGATTGGTTATTCTACCACGACGTTCAAGGTAAGTGAGAGCTGTAAACACTCCTTTCAAGATTTGAAATGTACCTGTGTGCAAAATCGATCTTGGGGGTCTGGACAGTTTGTATATAGCCAGACACAGGCTTGACTCATCTGTTTCCTGTATGACATACAGTCGTAGTCTGCTCTCCATTTTCCAGTTTTTAGCCACTTGTAGATAATTCTAGTGTGGATTATATGGGCCAAATTTGTCCAGCTGGCTATACTTCCGGACTTCAAGTTGTCTCTCCTTTTACCACCAGTTGCCTTGTGCTCAGAGCAGGCAGTCTGATTTGAACACTGACCCAAGAGAGGCATAGGGGTGGGAGTGGTGTATGGCTGGTAAATATTTAACATAAAATCACAGAATATTAAGTAATTAAAGAAAGTAGAGATTTCACATACTCCAGGACCCTCAAGTTACAGGTGAAGAAGCTAATGCTTAAAGACAAGGAATGTTTTACTCCAAAGTCCTGTTGCTGTTAGGTACCAAAAGAGAGCAAAGTTTTGTCTGTGTGAAAATAGGACCTTTTGGATTACTTAAACACTGCCTTTTGCATGAGCACAAATGATTGAGAGTTGACTATTGAGAAAAATGTAATCTTTTTCTTGAGTAAGCAGCTTCGTTTGATTAAATCATGTACTCTTCACTCTTACATCTTCCTATCTGAAATTTTGGAAAGAGGTTGACACTTCCATCCAAACAGATTTATTAGGAAACTAGGTTGTCAAGAAAGTGAGTGCATGTACAAAGATCCACGAGCATTAAAAAACATGTATTTGTCTAATACATTGTGTTTGTGCACTATCCAGAAAAGGATTTTGTTTTTGTGAATTTTTATACTATAATCTGTAAAATCCATAATCTTCCAAAGCATTGTCCAAAGCATTCCAGAATGTTCCAAATTACTAAAACTTGTTATGGATCATAATTCAGAATTGTGGGAATATTTGTGACATGTAACTTCATTATCAAGTCCTATTGTTCTTGGTTGCAATCCACGAGAATTTTTCCCAGGTCTGATTTTCTAAGGTCTTATTCTATGTCTGTCAACTAAACTTTGCAGATTATTTTTAGTTTCCACTTGTAGCCAATTAAAATTTTTATTCGGATCAACAATAGCATTAATAAAAATGACTTTTTAGAAAGTATAATATTTTCTTTAAAATATCAAAAGAATGCTTATCTTTTCTAAGTGAAAGTTGTGATTTGATATGTAGGAGTAATAAATGCCTAACCATGCACAAATAGAGAATGTGGTATGTTTTATTGTTAGGTTTTGCCTTTGGTGTTCAACAGCTTCATCCAGCCCTTATACAAAGACCTTTCGGGTAAGTCAGTTAATCAGGCCCTCCTAAGTTTCAATCTGGCTATCATTTGTTAACTTGCCTCTTTGTTATATATAGACAAGACCATCATGTCACAGAATGTTCCTGGTTATACATATTTATATATGTTTGTGTATTTTTCATGCTGATAATATAAATATTTTTAGATGAGTCAAGTTATCTGACCAAGTTATGCAGCCTCCAAACCAGACAAATTTTGAGCTTATGATTAACAAAACAAAACAAAACAAAAATACCAGGTATGACTTGTGTACAAGACGATTGTGTCCCAACACCATTACTACTGTTCAACTTGACTCAATTTTATTTATCTCTTTCTAACCTGACAGGGCTCGTATACAGTTAAGCTAACTGATCAGAAGGATACGATGATAAGAGGTGGAATAGTTCTGTTTGGAATTAAACTCTGTAACCAGTAGACTCAGACACACAAGCTCAGATGGTGATTAACGATGCATGGATGTTGGTGTTGTTGTTTTATTTTTCACAATAGTCAATAGACCTCCGTGTGCTTTATTTTATTTATTACAGTAATGAAGTGGTGTTGATAGCTAAACTGTGTGCTTTTTACTTAATTGAAAAGAGCTGTAGTGGAAGTGTTTTCTTTTCCTCGGGGAAGGGGCTCTTTGTGTTTTTGGTTTTGGTGGTGGTGTTGAGGAGTGACTTTTGACTTTGCCATGGGAAGCAAAGGGCCTTTTTTTTTCTTGCTTTTAAGCTGTAGCCTGTGACTTCCATTTAACCATATTTATGTAGTGAGTGCTAAATTGTGTGATTTCCCTCTGTAAGAATACAGATTCATTGCCTGCATGTCCTAAGTTTCTGTTTTACTGGGGAGTTTTCTGGGAATGGGGTTCTTTGAGTTTTCTGGGAATGGGGTTCTTTGAGTTTTCTGGGAATGGGGTTCTTTCTTTTGCAATGTGTATCCACTTTTAGGCCTTCTAATTGAAAGGTTCAACAACTCTCATCAGATTTCATTAACACTAGCCAGTTTTGCGAGTAGAGGAGCACTAACTTTCACCTTTCAGACCTGACTCAGCTGAAGCCTGCTCCTGTTTGTGTTACCTCTGGTCCTGTGATTACCAGCTTTCCTCATCTGAGCTTCCTATTTCCCTTCTGTTCAGACATGACATGAGTGGGAGATCCCCCACCAAATACGTTTATTCTGAACACTTAGGGTCTGTTTGGGCTGTATCTACCTGATCAACATTGCTGTAACTCTAATGCCAGAGATTTAAACTTCCTTTTTAAATATTCTAATTGTTCAAGAAGTGTTTTATCCTCAGCAGTAGTTTCTTCTCTAGCTTAGCACCTAAACATCTACATGTGTAACCTGGAAGGTTGGAATCTGTCTATATAGATAGATGTCTACCTTCTGTGTTTCCAAAAATAGACCAAAAAAAGTGATAATAATTTGACTTGGAAGAGTCAAGTTATATTTTCCATGAATACTTTCTTATAACCCTCTCTTTAACGTATTGATACCTCAATCTTAGTCCTAACTCTACTTTTTTTTAACTATAGAAGAGTCTTCTGTCCAATATGATTAGAAAGGGACTCCACATATCCATAGCTATTTATCAATGCCCCATCCAAACCATCCTGGATACTGACAACAAGTAGTGGGTTGATGGGTCCAAATACTTCTGTGGATCCCCCCTCACTGGTCTAGACTATGTTTACGGTAGTATTGGGGAGGAGAACATACATCTTAAGAAGTGATGATGAACTTAGTCATGATCTCACACTAATAATCTTGAAGTAGTTATAGAACTAAATCGATCAACAGGTATTAGCTTGTGTTTATTTTCCACTGTGCTAGTGGGTGATTCAAAATGAGATTGCACTTTACTTTGGGAAGGAAAACTAACACAAACCAATCAGGAGCTATTAATTGCTAAATTACTTGGTGGTGTTTTCAGTACACAAGGAATTCAGAATAGCAAGAAAATAGGTGAGTTGGAGGAGTTGAACAAGACTTTGTGGGGACTTGAACTAGACTTGAACCAATGGTGATGTTCTGGACAGGTAGAAGGAAGACTGGATATGTCTGAGGGGTATGGGATGAGGTGAGCATAAGGAACTACACAGAGGAGAAAAGCCTTAGTGCGTGGAGAAACCAGACTGTTCATGGAGGGTCTTGAGAGCTAGACAGAGAAATTTGGACTGGTTGCGGTAGTCCTTATAGATCCTTGAGAAAGAAAGTAGCACGAGGAAACTAAGAACAACCAGAGTAAAAGGTGTTCTATGGAAATTTTAAATCAAGCCTGTTTTGATAGTAACCTTTGTTTTTCATCCCTTCTAATATTTGCTGTCTTTATAAAGGATGGTGACTATTACTGTTTGCATAAACTGTTTGAATTTGAGATTCTTGTTAGAAATAGATAGCATGCCAGATGGACCAAGCAAGCCTTCTCTTTCTTTTTCAAGGCGTTCTCAACACTGCTCTAATTCCCAGAGTCTGTACCTAACAAATCACACCTGGTCATCCTAAATTCTATTTGAATGCCACACATTCTTATTTTAGGCCTGGAAAGAAGCTTGAGAATTTTTAATTTTACTTGACTTGTTTGAAATTCTAGTAACTGAACTATTTTTTTAATGTGGTCCTTAAATGACCCCCAGATTACTCTGGGTCTTTAAAGAGAAAACCTTGGACTGAAGGAATTTCTGATGTAACGCAGGAGCCAGATGTATAGAAACTTGTGGATTTGCTGAACAATATCTTATAAATACCTTATGTTGAAAGAAGCATTTTCTTATTGAAACCTTGGAGAAGAGAGACTGTGAATCTGTGAGTAGAAAGTTCTAGGCTAGTTTAGATCAGGTTGAAATACACTTAAACCTTTACTCAGTACACCTTTAAGTGCTAAGTTTTATGCTAGTTGTGTTAACACTGTACTAGGTATGACACTTTCCACTAAGGGGCCAGGAGGGACAGTAACTAACATTAACTGAACATCTGCTACATGCCTGGAACTTACTGATAAGGGATTTACATAAATTATATAATTTAATTCTCACAATAATTATTGGATGAAGCTACTGTCCAAGTCCTTTCCATGATTGAAAAAACTGAGACAGAGAGGTTAATTAACTTCCCACAGAGCTAGTAAGTGACAGAGTCTGGTTCTAGGTTCAGAATCATGGTTTGCCTAACCTCAAAAGCCCTGTTCTTTCCTCTGTGCCAAAAGACACAACCCCATCCTCCCTTGTAATCTAGCAAGAAAACTGACAAGCACCCAGAAGGGCTGTCCATGTGGCTTCAGATAAGGGAGAGAGACATCAGGATGGTGGGATCCAGGAAGTCTTCATGAAGGAGGTAGAAATTGACCTAGATTTTAAAGGATGGTGGAGGATAGGGAACTCTTGTATTATAGGCTCTTCACATAGATCATTTTATTCAATGCACAGCAATTCAGGGTTGGATATATTAGGTTCATTTCACATATGAGAAATATATGAGACTAAAAGGTGAAGCAAATTCCTGAAGCCTCTATATGTAGTGAGTGCTAGAGCTAGGGTGGATCGGATTTGGATTCCAACAGGTAGAAATGGAGTGAAGATTGGCATCCCTGAGAGAAGGATGGCACGAGCAAAGGTGAGGATCTAGGAACGTGTGGCATGTCCCGGAAACATTGAGGAGCCATTGACTAAGTGTTTTGGAGCCAGAAGCATAAAAGGCCTAGCAAGCCAAAGTTTAAGAAATTTGTGCTTAGTTTGGTATGATGGTACGGGCCACAGATTACTTGCAGCAAGCAAATGAGATGAAGACTTTGTCAGCAGTTTTGTGATAAATTAGAAGAGGTAACCAGTTAGGATGTCAAAAGTCACAGAGAGATGTCAGAGGGACCTGAAGAGATAGGAAGAAAAGGAAAACCTAGTAAATTTTCTTTGAAAATTTCCCAAAGTAGCTGCTTTGTTCTTGCCTTTTTGCAACTGCTAGGTATATACATTCTGTGATTAATTGAGGGAAAGGGCGTTGGTGGGTATCTAGTAGGAGGGAGATCCCTTTTAATAGCCTTTAAGGGTTCCTTAGGCTGTTAAAAGAACTCCTCATACACGAATTGCTTCCGAAGTGCCACCTTAGGCATTAGTCTGATTCTGCCCCCTTTCCTGAACTGAGATTTTTTAGGCTCACCATGGTCTTCTGGGTTCTCCTTTCCCTAAGCCTTAAAGGACTGTAGGGTTTCATTTGTCTTCCAGACATCTTCCTACCCCTTGCCAGGCTTTGTGTAGGCTTCTGATGTTCCAGGGAACTTTATGCTCTCATTGGTTGGCATTATCAAATGAAAACCTATTCATGGAAAATAAACACAAAGAGCCCTGTAAGCAACCCTGCCTATCTTGTAAGGCATTCTTCACACACACACACACACACACACACTTTTATGTGCCTTTTTGTAGGCTAAACTTATTTTCAGTTAACATCTTCATGCAAAGATACAAACCTAGCAACCATCCTGTTAGAACTGTGGGAGTCCAGGGGTTAATGTTTTGGTATCAGTGAGATTCACACTGGCCGGCCTTTGCCGCTGATAGACGTTTTACTTTGGCCTTATAAAGACATTTTACCCGCTGGAAACCCTTGTCGCATGACAGGATCAAAAATAGCCCAGCTGCAGCCCCTGCTGTCCATCACCACATGTAAACTGGCGTGAGTGTAGGCTCTCTTAGCCATGTCTGCGTTGTGGCCGCGGCGGCCTCCGGGGACAGTGTTTCATAAAGCCACACCTGTCGCTGCGAGTGGGCCAGCCACCTGACCTGCAGGAAAGTTTTGAGTGTCTGCATGACCATGCATCTGGTTTCTGACAAGCAATTAAGAACATCTCTAAGTGTCCTCAGAAACACTTGATGACGTCGTTTCTCCTGGCACTGGGAAAGATCTACGAGTCTAGTAAAATTGAGTGTATTTTTATCATTGGGGTCAAAGTTCACTACCCTCTGTGATAAATTCATCTTTTCCATGGATGTTCGTTAATGAGTGCTTTCAGTAAAACTCTGAAAAGGCAAAGCAAAGTCTATGTTTTCAGATATCTAAATGTGAAGTTTTCTGTTTTGAGTTCTTTAAAATTTGAAGATTGTTACTTGTGCTTGTACTTCTTATAAGTTGGCTTTGCCAACAACCAGATGGCATTAGGGTGTCATATTTTTAGAAATATGGAGGGTTTTGTTGGAGATTATTTTAAAGAAAGATGAAAAAATCAGATATTCATGGTAGTGTTCTAAATGGACAGTAACGAATCGCAAGAGTGAGAATTGAGATGCATGGGTGTTTGAAAATACCTCTTGTGATTTATTTTGTAACAAAATTAACTTTTAAGTCAGGTCATTGGAGTATGTCTTGTATATGAGCTCTGAATGTATAATTTTAAAAGGTACTTGATTTTGTTTCACTTTCTTGAACTTTTGCAGGATAATACATAATAAGAGAATTGATGCGTATGAAATATCTAATAGTAGGGCAGATTTAAAACATATGCTAATAAATCTATATCTGTGGAGTAAAACAACAGTTAGATGTGCAAATTCCTTACTCATATTATGATGTAAACCTTTTACATATATATTAATGTTGGAAATATTTAGTTGTATTTCCCTGTCCCTGCCTTTTCCCTCAACCTCATCATTTCCCCCGAAACCCCTTCTGTCTGTCTTGCATAGAGATAAACAAGCTGGCTGACCTTCAGTTGCCTCATAGTCAAACAGGTTTGATTGACCCTTGTGTCCTTATGAATTTTATGGAGAAAAAGAACGAAAGAAAGACAAAAAGCGTGCTGCACATCTCTTTGGGAATCACTGCCATGAATGTTAATAGCATTTCTGTAGCTTCCCACAACAGCCTCTTGTGGTAGAGTGAGCCGCACTACAGTTCGTTTGAGAAGTGTGATTCTGCTGTGTTTACCACACTTGTGAACTTTAAACTCCTTTTTTATTTTGTCGCCTGCTTTTTTTTATTATTATTTTTAATAAGGGTGACTGAGGTTGCAGAGAGATTAATGTGTGCTGAGTCTGCATAGCAATTTCAAGTAGGGTTGCCATGATAATAAACCTATGGATTTTGTTGAAGTTTATTTTCGTTTTGAGAAACCGGCCATCACCCCCAGGGAACAGAATGATCATGGGTTACCTTTTGAGTCCTATATTCATGGCTAAGAATTTTCCTATTTGCTAAACATTTTTGTTTTATGAATGCTTCACAAAATTTTCTAAAGTCTCAATCAATTAAGCATTTATTAAATACCTCTTATATGTGTAGCCCTCATGAACCTTGACTTATTTTCCAAACTTTTTCTAAATGATATTTATTGGTTCTAAATGATCATAAATAAAAATTCTGGCAGGGAGGACAACAATTTTTGTTGTTGAATTCCTTTTGGGGCACTCCATGACTTTGGCTATGGCCAGAGTACTTTCACTGACCACTGGAAAGTAGATATTGTGGCAACCCTATGCTTATAATAACCACTAAATTTGAGTTTGTCTTATCTCTGAACAAACAATGCTACAGATAGGAGGCAACTGCTGCCTGACTTTGTTTTCCATTTCTCAACAGGATACCTGCCCACTATGTCTATCCGCAGGCTTTTGTGCAGCCTGGAGTGGTCATTCCTCATGTCCAGCCGACGGCAGCTGCCGCCTCTACCACACCTTACATTGATTACACTGGAGCTGCGTACGCACAATACTCAGCGGCAGCTGCCGCCGCCGCCGCCGCCGCTGCCTACGACCAGTACCCCTACGCAGCCTCTCCAGCTGCTGCGGGATACGTCACCGCTGGGGGCTACGGCTACGCGGTGCAGCAGCCAATCACCGCGGCCGCACCTGGGACAGCTGCGGCCGCCGCCGCCGCAGCTGCCGCCGCCGCCGCGTTTGGCCAGTATCAGCCTCAGCAGCTGCAAACAGACCGAATGCAATAGACCAGCCATCTGATCAAAGTTGAATTGTTTTCTCTTTCCCTCCCAATTTCCCAATTTTTAGTAGCTAATAGAGTTAACATTGACTTAACAGCTTTAAAAAAAAAAAAACAGCTATGCTATTGTGAAGCAGAATTATTATTTTTTTTTAATACTCCAGTAGTGTTCGAGATGAGAAGGAGGTGAGATTGAGGGGAGTGGGCGCAGTTTTGGAAATCAATCCCAAAGAGGCTGAGTAAATGAAAGGCCACTACGAAATGATGGCAGGAGTAACGAAGGAACTTCACTTTTATAGGGGGATTTTTATTTTTGCTCTTTTTATAGTATCAGGGAAGCAAACTGCCTTTTACAAGTTAGAAAATGCTATTTGAATCTAGTTGAACCAGGGAATACAGAGTGAGCAATATGTAGCTTGAATTACATTTAAAAGCAGATTTTTTTAAAACAAAATGGTGAAAGCACTGATTGTCATTTTTAGCAGTCACTATGGCCTATAGAACTTTTTCAAGTAAGAAGGTAATGTTCTTACTCTCTCAAAAACGGGCATCGAACAATCAATCTAGGAGCGTGGCAGTGGGTAAAATGGCGGACAGGCACCAAAGCTATTTTCTCATCTATCCTGTGGATGAGTGGGACTGTGGAGCAAGTGATGTGGAATTAATGGGTGCAACAGCTGTACAGACAATCAATAACACACAGTTCTGGAAAGAACACATCACTTGTGCTTGTTTGATGAGCTTGTCACATTCTAATCCCTCTCCCCATCCTGTTTCAATTTTGGGAAACTTGTATCTGCTGGTGTCAGCAATTCTGATTCTGAAATAGGATCAGGCCTTTACTACAACAGCCTTCTCTTTCTATTTATTGTGTCGACTCGTGGCTGATGAATAAAGGCAGGCAAGGTTTGTGGACTCTAAACCCTTAAGAACTGTCTTAAGGACATTTTTTTTTTCCCTTTTTAAATAATTTTACACTTTTTAGTATCTATATCAGAGTCATATTTAAAACTATTTATTAGTGAATACAGTACATGAGACAGCAAGGTTACTGAGATTACAATTCTTCAAAGGTTAATGATAATGTGGTTTATACTGTGCCTTAATAGTAATGCTATTTAAGATAATTTATTTTTAAGTTTTACTATGCTGCACTCTAAAGAAAGGAACTTTAGATGTGACACTGTAAAATTATGTATTCATCTCATGGCATAAATTATTTAGTAGGTCTAGATGTAGCATATTAAATATTAACCTATTCAACGAAAGATGTTGACTTGGATTTATTTAAATTCATATGTGCACTGTATAAGAGAGTACTCTTACATTAACACATTTTAGTGTATTTTAGTTTTTAGATTTTTTTTTTAAACAGGCTATACTGCTAGTTTCATGCTTCCTTCTCTGATTTTTGCTCATGTAGATCTCATTTATTGGTACTTCATTAGTTTAACACTATTACGTAGTTTTTAAATGCTGCTTTACATTTTTCTTCTGAAACTGCAATACTTGCAATTTTTATTCTTAAACTAAATTGAATACTATTTTACACTGTATTGGATTTTTATACTTGAACAATTTCATACAAGGGAAGACAGGTTAGCATTTTTATGGACTTTCTCCATTATCACTGGATTTACTTTAAGTATGCCCATACTAGACAGTGTTATGTAATGTAGACATGACTCTCCTGTGCAAATTATTTATTCATTGTGTATATTGCTTTATTACATTTCAGATCTTCTATTCACTTGTATTAAATATAATTTTTAAAAACTTCTGTTGCATTGATTGTTTCTACTTCTGTCATAAAGGTAGAATGATTCCTCCTTTTCCCTAGAATCAGTGGTCGTGATTTATATGTAACATTTTCAGTGATCAGAAGGCTTCCCAGATATCCTATTTCTATACCTTTTAAGTAAATTTCATTAACTCAGAATCTACCTTATATTTAGCAAATGATATAGGTCATCCCCCAACAGTGAACCCTAAAGATCTATTCATATCACTGAAAATTGGTTAACTGAAGATGACTCGAAAAGAGTGGGCTGTAGAGGGGACCAGTCCATCAGAAGCTGGAGTAGCACAGTGATGCTGGGGTCAGGTAAAGTGAGGTTTGGGGCTAGACTCTAGCACTTTCTAGCATTGTGAATGGAGCAAGGTGTTTTTTGTAATTCATGTTTTGGGTGAGGTTTTTATTGGCTTCTTATCTAGGACCATAATGCTTGCCTCACATGGTTATTTAAATATTAAATAAAGTATCAACTACTTGGCACACAGCCAAATATGTAGTGAGCACTTGATAAACTGTCACTAGTACCAGTTGTTGTAGTGCTCTATACTGAAAGCTAGCCAAAGAGGAAGTCACCTATTGGGATGTTTTCATTTTTTAATTTCTGTCCACAATGATGTGGCAATATCTAAGGTGAGATTAACAGATCAAATGAATGTCTTATTGCTTGTCTTAAAGTGTATAAGTTATGTTAAATATGGAATGGATTTTTGTTGGTCTCTTGATCTTAATATTTCCCAAATCCGTGATATAATATCTTTTATTGAACTCCATTAGTTTTTAAAAATTATAAGCATCAGAAAATTGTGATAACAGATTCCATTACACTTTTCTACTTTATAATAACATCCTATTTAGAGCCATCACAATCTTAAATTTTAATTTCCCTTAGTTTTCTAAAGAAAAATAGATACCGGTTTATCCCTAGGGAGAGATCTTATTGCACTCTGAAGTATTATCTTGGATCAGTAAAATAATTTCTAAGCTACTTAATTCAGTCAGTGCATCCATGATTCTATTCTTCCAAAAGACAAGTTCTACATTTAATTTTTCAGATTTATGGAAGGTCGCTTTTGTCCTCAATAAGCCATATATTGATTGCTGAACTTTAAAATGAAATGTTATTTGATTTATCAATTAAAAATAGGTCAGACAGTTCTGGGAAAAGCTTGTCAAAAATAGCCATACTCAGGAAAGCCAAAAGTCCACCTACCCCTGGCTGTATGTTTCTTGGGGGCCTTTCGTGATCTATACTAATATCAATATTAGCAGTTGCAGAGAGGGCAAGATTTTTACTTTATAATGCTAAAGCATACATTTCTAAAAAATAAAAGTTCATAATATCTAATAAAGAGGGGAAAGTCGCCACAGCAGAGTGTCTACTTAAGTAGACAGGCGACTTTTAGCTCTGGAGTTAGAGAAAGCAATGGGTTAGAGATCCAAAGATCTGGCCGAGTCCTGGTTTGCTTGCTTACAGCAGGGTGAACTTGAACCCCTCTATCCTGGTAAAATGTGAGTTAATAGTACACAAGATAGTTGCCCTACCTACCTCTCAGGTTGTACTAATTAAATGAGTTAATTGATATAAGAGCATATTAGAAATTCTAAAATATTAGGCAAATGGAAATTATACTGAGGGAATATAGATTAATTTGAACATTGATCTTAATTGCCTCATGTTAAATCACCCTTCCAAAAAAGGACAAAATTGTATCTCATGATGTTATCTTTACTCTGTCCCAACCAAGTAACAGCTCAATTTGCTGCACAACAAGAGCGGCACAAAAATAACGTGGAAAGATGGCGAGATTGCCCAGATTGGGGAAGGAAGGGGAGACAAGAAGATTATGGAATACATTTCTCTCACAGGGGAACTATATTTAGCTCCTTCCTCACTCCTGTCAAATATTGTTCTTCTTAATTACCTCTGAGGCTTGAAAGTGTTTATTAAGATGACAGCCTTAGGTTTGGAGGGACAGAGGTGAAGAGGAATCAAAAAATAAATAAATGCATTTTCGTGCTTACTTTTGTCCTCTCTTCTCTTTCAAGAGTTCCAGGCTGTTTCCATGGAAATTCTAACTTGTTTTGCTTAAGCACTTCATACAGAGGAGGTTTCATTTTGGATATTTGTTCTGAGTTGAATTTTAGAAGTTCGATAATGACTTTAGCTAAGTCATTTAAATTCCAGGCTTTGAAATCCCAGTTGTAAATCAAAATGGGAAAGAAATCAGACAATACATGTATGTATAAGCACTTGAGAATTTTAGATAAGAAAAGTGATCTACATTTATGGCTTTGATATCATAAATAGTTCTGTCTTATTACACAGGATTTGGTCATTGTTGACCAAGTTCTTCAGAGAGAAAGTCTATAAAGTCCCCTTCTCTCCAGTCACTTGTCTCCTGGAAGATGAATGCCGTTGCTTTTTTATATCCAAGATGCTACCACTAAGCTATTAATATACTTTAAGTGAGTTGGAGGGTGTGCGTTGTTTTCCACTTTGCCACTATTAGAGGCAATTCTGATTACATTATAACAGGGCTTGAGTACCAATCATTATTTCTTTTCATTTAATAGCTCAGATAATGTGTTCATAAAAGGGAAAATATCTGAAACTGACTTCAAAATGAGTTTTAAATACAAAAACAGAGTTTTGCCAAGTAGCAAGTTACATTTTAGCTCTATTTTTAAACTTTGTTCATCTGACAGTCCCAACCAGGTACGAACTTGTTTACTTTCTAAATGTTCTGACTCCTGGCTCTGCGTCTATGCTGCAGGTGTCCCAGGTGAGGTGAAAGAGATACAGTGCATGCCTTCAGAGAGTCTTGGAGTACGCATTTCCCTTCCGCATCCCCTTATGTACATAATGAGCTGAAGGAGTGGGAGTCATGTGGGCCGGATCACGCGAGGCAAGGGCTTGCCACCAAAGGGACCACAGAGGGCAGAGAGGGAGAGGTGGCTTGCTGGGTGGCGGGAGACTATCTGGGGATGGGGAGTACTGGAATCATTTAAAAGACAGTAATTAGATATGTGGTTTTCATCTGTTTTCTAGTTAAATAAAAGACATTTAGGACAACAGCTGAGTTTTTGAACTTGCAGAGGTTTAGACATTTTAAAAAATGGAGTATATTCTTCGTAACTGAAAACTTTCAGAAATAAATTGTGGTGCCTTGGGTAGGATTAGATAGAGCTTCATCCTGGACCTTGGGCTTGCAGGGACAGGGAACATTGGCATTCCTTTATCTTATCTATCGTGACTTCCCATTTTAAGCAGACAAGCGAGTCAGGAGAGGTGGAAGATTACAGAAAATGTATTTATCTTGCTATCCAGTATACTTTCCCTCACCCATTAAAAAGTCATTTGTGGCTGGGAAATGTGAGCTCCTAACGTCTGCATTTGCACGTGCTGTGCTGCTTCTGTCTTGATGCTGGTCAAGTCCTGCTGTTGGGCCTTTGGAGAAATAGTGGAAAGTTTGCAAAGGGATGCAAGGAAAGAGGCCTGCACCGCTAACCACATACCATGTATGTACTTGTATTTAACCCTCCTAATAACGTAAGGTAGGTAATAGTATCCCCACTTTTCAGACAAAGGAAAGAATATAAAGGCAGTAAGCAGCCTGCCCAAAGTCACAGTGTCAGCATGGGGCAGAATCAGGATTTCAGGGTGGGGTGGCCTGACACCAAATCCTGTATGCACACTGCCTCACCATGCTGCTTCCTGACTCTCCTCCTTCTAGTGAACCCAATGAGCTTCCCCTGGGGATCCTTAGATGCACTGGTTCCGCAAGCAACTACTAAATTAGTGGAGGGAAAATTCCTACACAAGGTATGAATTATTGGGAAGAATGAGGATAGAAGATTCCAGTGGGGGGCAGAAGAAGCCTTCAGTGTTGTCCGGAACAAATTTGATTCATTCCCAATCACAACTGAACCCACTCTTTAGCCTGACATCTAACTGTATTTCTGTACCTGCTTATCATTGGGGTACCACATTAAAAAAAAATCTCCTAATGCCAATTTTCCACACTATGCCTAATTTATCAATAATATTTTCAAAATGCTCCATACGCTCTGTCATCATGTGTTTGGCAATGTGCTTGGCATAAACCAATGCCCGATGGAAAGAATACGTTGAGAGCCAGTAACTGGGCAAATGTGAGGTCAGAGCAAGTACCTCAAGTCCCACGAGAACTCAGAGGGGAATTGTAAGTATCAAACCTTACCTCACAGATGGTTTGTTTGGTGCTTTCCCCACGCTCCTTGCTTTCACTTTAAAGAGTCATTCTGTGGCATCCATCTATATCAGAAAAGGAATATTGGTAATAATCAACATCAAATTGAACACTCTTTTCTATTACCATCGTTCACTTCTTTACTTTAAATGTCTAGATTTTTGGCTACCATTTACTGGGCATCCATTAGTGTGTGCCAGACACTGAGCACGTTATCTTAAATCTTCACGACCTCGCTGTAGGCTTGGCATTATTATCTTCATGTGACAGAGAGGCCAGTGTAATCTGCCTAAAGTCACAGCAGAAAGTGGTAGAACTGTGAGTTGAAACCCAGGTCTGGCTGATGCCAAAGACTAACTCCACTGGATTATTTTAGCAATGTCTTTCTGGGTCTCTAGGAATTGTCTCAGAAATTCTAAGGGAAACTTAATAAACATGACTTTGGTTCTATAGACTCTAGAGTCAAAACCAAATCTAAGGACCCCGAGACAAGTTATACACATGATTACAGCCTTAATAAAAATTGCATTGCATAAATGTCTCCATGCTCATTTTCTTAATTTAATTTCTACGGTCAACATTTGTTTAGTCATAGCACTAAGGATTATAATGACTATTTAGTCATCTTGACCTCCATCCACTTGTGCTTTTTTGGGAAAAATATCATACTAATACTGTGATTTACTATAATAAACTACTATGAAATTGAATAAGAGTATATCTCGGTTTATGTCAAAGAATGTCAAATAATT